ACTTCAGCTCCCAGAATTCTGGGAGCTGAAGTCCACTCATCTTAAAGTGGCCAAGTTTGGACAACACTGGTTTACTGGCTCTCACCGTCAGGAAATTCCTCCTTATTTTGAGTTTGGATCTCTCACTTGAAATAAGGAGGAATTTCCTGACATGGTAGAGCAGGAGGTGCAGCTAAACAGGCCGGCTGTTGAAAGGAAATGGGGAAGACATCTAGCAAACCATAGCAGAGTCAAGACCAAGTCAAGGTCAAGTCAAGGTCAGGGTCAATGAGGTCCAGTCAAAGGAAGTTGCTCCAAAGTGTCTGTTCTCAGTCAGAGACTTTTAAGCCCTTGGCCACCTTCTAAATATAGCTGGTGCTGATCAGTATTAACTGCAGAATCTAGGGTGCCCAGAAATCATAATCTAATCTACAACTAGTCCACTACTCTCATGATGCTGTTCCAAGCAGATGGTATTCTGTGCCTCTCTGCTCTTTGGCTATAGACACAATAGTACTGACACCTTAGCAGACTTGGAAACCATGTTGCTGGGTTAGAGATATTAGAGCAGTGTTTCTCAACCTTGGTAACTTTATGATGTGTGGACTTCAACTCCAGGTGGCTGGGGAATTCTGGGAGTTGAAGTCATAAATATCATAAAGTTGCCAAGAGTGAGAAACACTGCATTAGAGAATAGAAGAATAGTTCCACAGTGATCCTAGTGCTAGGCCCTAGATCAAAGTTGCCACATAGTTCTTCAGTTGCACCCTCAAAAGAAGATTTGTCTAGAGAGGTTATGACCTTGCTGCCCTTCCTGGGCAGAAGAGGTCTAGCTGTAGTTATCTGCACTCTGATAACTTGACAATAAATCATTATTGTGTCTGAGAATCCCAAGGAATATGTTCACTTCACTGCACATTGGAATTATGTACTGGGAATCTAATTTTCTGTCCTTAAATAGAAATGTTGGTTCCCGGTACATTTCCAAATACAGTACAGGATGCAGGTGTGTGCTTTAAAAAATCCTGGATGGTTTGGGACCTTAATAGCTGCCAGAACAACCTTTTCAGGACCTGAGATCATTGCAAGAAGTCTGGTGCCTTTGTTTCTTGAGATGAAAGGAAGCAGTTGCGGGAAGGGCCTTCATACAATTTGGGTCCATCTTTGGTGAAGGCCACTTAGTTCATTCCAAGAGTCCTCTTGATGTTTTAAGAATATCATAAGTGAAGAATTTCTGGTATGGCTTTTCCGAAGCCTTCTGCTTAAAACACACATTTTAAAATGCAATTCTTGTTGGCTGTTGTATATTCTTCTTCTGAAAAGACACCTGAGTTTGACTGATAGGCCAATATTCTACTGAATCAGCTCTTACAGTTTTGTAAACTTTTCTTTTTTAAATCCAGCCAAATATTTTTGTTCTATTCAGCCTATGCTTGATGGCTGAGTTCATACCACATACCTATTGGTTAGGGTTAACCTATTAAAACAAAAAACTGTTGCTTGCAGAAGTTGTAGTTGTATGTCTAAACAACTGTAGAATAACTTAATGTGATTCACATCACATTTTCAGAAGTGGTTTCCTTTCCCACAACAAAGGAAAAAAAGAAAAGGAAAGCAAAACTCTGCAGGAAAAAGACAACCCCATCAATATGATCAAGATTTAATTCAATTATAATGATGAAATTAAAGAAAGTTATAAAGTTTCAAACATCTGTAAACTTTTTTTTCTTTTTAAACGTTTGTACTTTTCTATTTAAAATTAATTGGGGTTTTAAAAAAGTGTTCAACTCTAAAATCAATCCTTCCTTCCTTCCTTCCTTCCTTCCTTCC